GTAGTGGGTGTCTTGTGGCTACGAACTCGCTTAGCTTTTGTTTATCTGAGAACGTTTTGATTTCTCCAGCATATCTGAAGGATATTTTTGTTGGATATAGTATTCTTGACTGAAAGTTTTTGTCCTTCAAAGATTTGAATATGTCGTTCCTGTCTCTCCTAGCCTGTCAGGTTTCTACAGAGAAAACTGCTTAAAGCTTCATAGGGGTTCGTTTGTAGGTTATTTTCTTCCACCTTGCTGCCCTTTGTATTTTTTCTTTGTCATTCACTTTTGCCAGTTTCACTACTATATGCCTTGTGGAAGAGCTTTTTACATTGACATATTTAGGAGATCTGATAGTCTCTTCCACATGGATTTCCATTTCCTTCCCCAGGTTTGGGAAGTTCTCTGCTATTATTTCTTTGAACAAGCTTTCTGCTCCATTCTCCTCTTCTCCCTCTTGAATACCTATAATTCTTATGTTGCATTTCCTAATTGAGTCAGATATTTCTCAGAGACTTTCTTCATTTCTTTTTAGTCTTAGTTCTCCTTCCTTCTCTATCTGGAACATTTCAACATGTCTATCCTCGATTATGCTGATTCTCTGCTTTATAATGTTCACTATAATGTTCACAATGAGCATTCAGGGAATCCATATTTTGTTTTATTTCTTCCATTGTGTCTTTCATCTCCAATATTTCTGATCAACTCTGCTTCATAATTTCAATCTCTTTTGTGAAGTAGCTCCAGAACTTGTTGAATTTTTTGATGATAACTATTTTGAATTCTCTGTCATTTAGATTACATATCTTTGTGTCCTCAGGGCTGATTTCTGGGTACTTTTCCTTTTCTCTCTGGTCTGGAGATTTAATATAATTTTTGATACTGCTAGAGGACATGGCTCTGTTATTGCACATTGTGGTATTATTCGGTCGCGGTTACCACCTATTACCACTGGGTGAGGGTCAAGAGCCTCATATTCTGAACCCTCTGCATTCCTCCAAGATCCTAGGCCCTGGAGCCAGTGCTGAGTGGGTTGAGGAGAGGGGCACTTTCTTCTGCATACTCTTGGGGCTTTCTTACTCTACCCTCGCTATCTCCTCTCCCAGAGTGTTGGCTTGATGAGATCACTCACACATTAGCTTTCACCTTGGTAGAGGCTTTCCCCTAGGCTGCAAGGGCCCTCAGGGATCTTTGATGTTCCCACAAACAAACGTCCCATCCCCCATCTCTTCTCTCTCAGACTCTGCACATGGTCCTGGACCCCAGTCTTTTGGGGAGGGAGTGAAGTTTTTTTTTTTTTTTTTAAAGATTTTATTTTTTCCTTTTTCTCCCCAAAGCCCCCTGGTACATAGTTGTATATTCTTCGTTGTGGGTCCTTCTAGTTGTGGTATGTGGGATGCTGCCTCAGCGTGGTGTGATGAGCAGTGCCATGTCCACGCCCAGGATTCAAACCAATGAAACACTCGAACACCTGCAGTGGAGCGCGCGAACCCAACCACTCGGCCACGGGGCCAGCCCCGGGAGTGAAGTTTTGTCTTACCCTGTTCTACCTTCTCCAAGGGGGATTCCAGCCTCTCCACCCTTTGTCCTATGGCTGTGTGGGTCTCTCAGATGTCTTTTGTGTTGTGTTTGGATGTCCTCTGTTGGAGTATGAATGTCTTTTTTATTTATGGTGAAGGGGAGATATTACTGGGAAAGCTCACGCTGACGTTATGCTGACATCCCTCTTCCAAAAATTTCTTGAGAAGTTAGATTTCATGTTAAGTGTTCTTACTACAATAAAAATAGTTTTGGACTAAAAATCAAGTTAAAATGTATTTCATAAACAAAATTACAATTACTTTTATTTTTTTATTTTGTATTTAATTAATCCACTCATACCTGGTAATTTTTTATTGTATGATGAAATACTTCCTCCACCGAATGTCTTGTTCTTTAGCTAGTCTTTTAATCATATCCTATGAAAGACCTGGAATGAGTAACAGTGATTTAAAGGAGAAGCATTAAGCCTCCATTTACAGTTTAATTCAGACTAGTTTGTTTCAATTTCATCGTGTTCTAGCTTTCATTACAAATATTCTCTTGGATTTAGGTGATCCATTATAATCCTTCTATAGATAGCAATTGGCTTTTCTAGCTTTGACCATAGCACCTTTTATTGACAATATTTAACACGACAAGCAGTTTACAAACATTATCTCCTTCTATTATTTCAATTCTTTGAGATAGGAACTATCATTATCCCTATTTTGTAAATTAGAAGATCAAGCCGTACAGAAGTTAAGTAATGTGCCTACAGTGATACTGGTCCTCAGAGGCAGAGTCATAACCCAAACCCATGTTTTGGAACATTTAGAGAAAACCAAGAGGAGATACAAGATAGTCCTTCGTTGGTTTATTTTCAGAAATAAGATCTATGGCTTTAGAATATAACTCTAGAATGTTCATTTGCATTGAGTTTATTTTCTTACAATTAACTACACTCACCCAATAATAATAATCACTGAAATATTTAGATGTTGGGTTTTAGCAATACAATTCATGGGGTCAATTATGACATTTTCTCCTATTAAGTTAGCGAATAAACAATCTCACAGGTAAAATCATCCTATCAAGATTAGAAAAAAACAATTCTGCCTGTATTTTTTATATTTTGTGTTTATTCTCTTGAAATTGGTTTTCAGCAATAAATTATAAATGACCAACAAACATCTGAAAAAGTGTCCAACCTCACTGTGAATAAAATAAATGCAGTAAAACTTTAAAGAATGAACTTTCATTTTCACTTTTTAGTTTAGTAAATTAAAAAGACTGATAATGCATGTTGGTAAGAAAACAGTCAAGTAGTCCTTGATAGTGAGTGTGTACATGGGAACAGTTTTGGAGGGCAGCTTGCCAGTAATTCTGAAAATTAAAAGGAGTAAACTTTGCACACAGTCATTCTACTTCTAGGAAAATTTCCTACATCTCAGTTATGCAAGTAGATATGAGAAAGGATACTCTCTAAAACCACACACAAACTACCTGACTTTGAATGATTAAACTTTGAGTTTTGCTTAACTCCCCTATAAATTGGAGCTTTTTTATTTACAGATTGGCACCTGAGCTAACACTTGTTGCCAATCTTCTTTTTTTTCCTTCTTCACCCCAAAGTCCCGCAGTACGTGGTTGTATATTCTAGTTGTAGGTCCTTCTAGTTCTTCTATGTGGGACACCACCTCAGTATGGCTTGATGAGTGGTTCCAGGTCCGTGCCCAGGATCCAAACCTGTGAAACCCTGGACCACTGAAGCGGATCATGCAAACTTAACGACTCCGCCCCAGGGCTGGCCTACATTGGAGCTTTTAATAGTGTCTACCCTACTGAGTATCATATGAAGTAATGTATTAAGGAGTTAATTTGCATCTAGCAGCCATAATTTAGTAATAACTTTTAAAAAAGCAAAATCTGTATTTCTTTTAATCATCTTTATTTTTAAATTGCAAAATAGATACTTGTCAGAACATGCAAAATAGTATGAGATGTAAAAATTTCCTCCCTTGACTCCAAGTAAGAAACATTTTGATTTTGATAACTGAGCTGATGGGAGATTTTTTTTATTAGAGTTCTTGTGTGAATTGGAAATGATTTCCTGGAGATTTCAGCTTATTCACAATCGCTGTTATATAGGGTGATGAAATCTATTTATTCTATTAAGTATATCAGACTTGGATCATAGTTTACTAATTGAGGCAGCTTTAAACCAACGTGAGGATAATAGTCAGCCAGCTAGATCAACCCCTCTAAATTACCAACATCAGTATATAGCCACTAATGTCACTTAACCAAACACCAATTCTCCTAAGTAGTGATATCCTTTTGATTTTTCTGCCAAATGCACATCTTTCTCAAATATATTTTAACATGGATTAAAAAATATCAGATACTCTCAATCCAAAGTAATTAAGTAACATCACAACCGTTGGAGAAAAAAATCATGAAAATGTCTCAAGTTCAACTGAAAAAAGAATGGAAAAGAGATAGAATAGCCTGAAAAACTTAATCATTCCCTCTTTGACAGGGTCTCTATTATTATGCAGCAAAAATAGGCCACTTGTATAAGAATAAAAACAGGCTTAAAATTATAAAACTTTGAGGGACAATATAAAAGTTTAGTTTATTCCTCTTATTTTAAAAATAAGAGAAGCTGAAAAATTTTGCGTATTTTCAGGTCAGATTTTAAGGTCAGACTGCCTGTGGGAGGCAGAGTCTGGCTATGAACTGACTCCCTACCTTAAGGCAAGCCGCTTCCCAGGCACCACCCAGGGCATTTCATTCTGCTGTTCCCAGCTAAATATACACGTGGGTTTGCTAGCAGTCTTACTTTTCCTTTACTTGTACCTCTCTATTGAAATAAAGGACAAGAAAGAAGCTTATAGATTTATCTACAGATTTTTCATTCGCTCACTTTACAATTATTTATTAAGCACCATAAATATGCCAAACATGTTCTTCTAGTTGCTGTGGATACAGCAGTGAACAAAGTGATTCTTTTAAGCAAAATGCCATTTTAGTTGATTTTAAGGCCTCCTCTTATGTGGACTCTGACTCTCTGGTCTGATTCGTATATCAATATTTCCTTTCACTTTTTCTGCTTATTTTAGGAATTTATTAGTTTTAAAGTGATTTGGTATACAAATTATTTATAAGTAGTCATATAATTTCCAACTTAGATTTTTCACGTATTATGGGCGTTATAAACAAGAGTTTCAAGCGTCTCAAGCATTACCCAAAGGAATTGTAGCATACTGGTCAAATATACAGCATCCGGAGCCCCACTGCCTAGTCTGAAACCCAGCCCCTCTGGTTATTAGCTGCGTAACCTTGGGAAAATTTTAAAACTCTCAGTATCTCAGCTTTCTTATTGGTAAAATGGGGACAGTAGTAATAATCTACCATATAGAGTTGTTTTGAAGATTGATAATGTAGATCGTATAGACAATTTACTGCACTTTTTTTTAATCACTTGTTCTGTCAAGAAACCAACAAAGCAGAAGGAAGAACAAAGCATTAAACTAGTAAAACAACACACCCTCCATCAAAATCAGAAAATGCTCCACACCTATAGCACCAATTCTTCCAATCAAGATTGATCATGGCATGCCTTCCTGCTAAGTCTCAACATGGCCTTTCAATTAGTCTAGTGCTCCAAGTATCAATCAATGGGAAGTGACACTTGAAACCAATTTTCTATCCGGAACCTCTTCTTTAGAGGATGTAACCAAGCTTCATATGCTGAAACTATTTTTCTGGAAAAAGAAGTAAATTTGAAGAATTCAAAGGTTTTGTAGGTAAGGTGATTATATGTTTGTTTGTCCAGGACAGCGTCAGTTTTCAGTCCAGCATAATTGTTATCAGTACTCCTTCTCCCTCTCAAAATTGTCCCACTGGGGATAGCAAGTGATATGGCCGCTATAATTATAGCTTATTATAACAGCATAACATAGATTATTTTGACCATTTTTAACTTGATGGTTTTAATAACTATCCTTCAGAAACGGAAACAACAACAAACCTGATCCTCATAATGCATATATAAATATTAAAGTCCAACTGTAGAGACATATTTATATGAAAAAGATCTTCATAAGCTTTTCAAAGGATATACTTTTCACATCTTCTGGACTTTTATTTTCCAAAAATTGTGTTCTGAAACATTATTGCTTCCTCAAATATCTAATTCTTGTGTGTATAACAGTCACAATTTCAAGAAATACAACCCTAAAACTTGTACTGAATGTCCCTTGTTGGCCAACTGCTTTTAAAGTGACTAGAATAATTTGCCATTCTCAAGAGGTTTATGAATTTCTTATCTCCAAATGACAATCTTAAAAATTGTGCCATGTTCACAAACTATTAGGCAGTCTTTTATGAACCAATGCTTAGGTTTTATGTTTATCCTTTAATATGAATTCATTTTATACCTTAAATAAATTGAATTTAGGACATATTTACATATCATAAGTCAAGTCCATATAATTATTTTTTGTATAGTTGTGATAGAATCCCTATTCTGAGAATAAAGTTTTGGTAATAAACATTTTCATTCAACCGTGAATATTGACTTCTAAAAAAGCAACTTTCCTGATCTTTGTCTTCTTACAAAATATTCACGATTAATTTACAATGAAGAATGAGTTGAAAAGTGTTAATGGTTAAATGATTTTTAATTATTTTTTGACTTAGCTACTTTGAAGCTTTAAATATATCATATTACCAAAAATCAGTGGTCTAATATGTCAATCATCAAAGCAGAACTTACTCATTAAAAAATTCCCTCACTGTTACACATGTGCACACACATACAACATTTTCAAATAATTTTTAGAGTTTTGGTAAACCTCTAAAAAACTTGTTTACTAGAGTCTAATTATTGCTTAACAGCTTTCACAGTTGAAGTAATGTAAAAGTAATTCAAGCTGACTTTAATAAGAAGAAACTGAGAAGCTCAGGTAACACTAGTTTCAGACAAAGCTGAAATTCGGTGTTCAAATGGTGTCATCAGGAATCTTCTGCTTCTGCTCTCCTCTTTGTATTCCCCTAGGAGTGGCAAGTTGGCCATCTGTAGTTCTAGACTTTCAATTCTCACATTTTTTTAGCAATCTTCTTGGAAAGACAACTTCTTTTTCCAGCAAAATCCCAGATTTGAGCCTCATTGACCTAGCTGGAGTCACATGCTGTTCTTTGAGCCAGTCACAGTGGCCAAGGGGGATGGAATGTTCTGCTGATTAGGCATCAGTCACAGGCCCACCATTGGAATCAATGAGGGCTGAGTAGTGGGTGGTTATGAAAGAACAGGTAAGGCACTATTGGCAAGAGAAATAGGAAAAATGCTGGGGGGCGAGGCAGAAACAACAGATGACCCTGGAAATCACTCATTCCATAGATTCCTGATTAAGAACCTCAAGACCAAAGAGTAAAAAGTATAACATGGTAGACAGCATAAATAAAGTAAAAAACATTAAGACTGTTCATATTTTAGACAGCCACAATTGTATGATTTTTATCAATGAATAATATCAGAAAATAGCAATTATTTTTGTTACCAATGGATATGAATTCTGTTTCCTAAGTGCATTTCTTTCAAATGCAGTTATTAGCAATATATTTAGGCATGGTTTTATGATGAGGTTTGGAGTATAATAGAGTAGAAATATTAGAGAACTGTGTTAGCCAATGACATAAGTTTTGGCCACATTATTTCTGCTAAAAATATAGTGAAGTATTTGGTAAAATCTTTTAAAAATAGATCCTGCCTGGGGATTATGAAAAATCATCACCTCCTTCTGAATTGAACTGACTTCATATGCAGACTTAAGTCTTAAATATCTAAGCTGTGTTAGGAAAAAGTCTAATCGATGTAGTCTGTTAGAAATGGTTCTTGTGTGTTAGAAATGGTTCTGTGGAATATGTTTGTGGTTTTAAGAAAATAATACATGTAAAGAACATATAACAGTGCCAGGCACACAATAATTGGTCAAAAAATGGAGCTATTTTCTCTGTCTCTCTGTCTCTCCCTTTATCTCTTTCACTCTCTCTCTCTCTCTTGCTTCCTCCGTCTCTGATTTTCTCACTCCTTGGGCTCTCTTGGGCATGCCTATGACTCTTTCTCTGGAACTCTCTTTCCTTTTCTCTTTTTCTTTCTCTCTTTCAAACTCCATTTAGAAGATCTGGGTTCTAGTCCTGGTTTTATAGACTCAGTAATATCTTAAGTAATAGCTCAGAATAAATTGGCTTTTGGAACTCTTGGGGACAGTCAATCTCAGAGAAACTTCAAGAGAAAAGTAACATATTATTGACAATTCTAATTCATTTGTTGGCCTTCAACTCCCCAATTCCTTGTTTGTTCACTCTAGAGAACTAGTTACATTATCTAATTCAGTTCTAATCCAATTCAATTAAAACATTAAAGGTTTATTGTGTGCAAAGCAATGATTTAATTTCTCTGAGGAAGAGATGGTTAATAATTTATCATCTACTGGAAGAAACAATATAAGAAGGTAATATAACAGTCATGAATATGTATGCATGTAAATAAAAAGCCTCAAAAACTGTGTAAGAAACAGATAGACTATAGAAAGCAGTTGATAAATTAGCAAGTTAACACATACCTTCTCAGAGACTGATAAATCAAGTAGAAAATAATTAAAGGTATCTGAGATATGAGTAACATAATAAATAAACCTTGAGATACTAATTATAAAGCTATCTATACTCAATAAACTAGAACATTTACAAAACAGATTACAGATTAGCCCACTAAAAACGCTCAGTGATCCATAGTATCAAGATTATACAGAATAAATTCTCCAATTATGATGTAATGAAATTAGGAATTAACACAAGGCTGTGTTAAAAATTCAGTATGTTTCGAAATCCAATGACATATTCTTAAACAATTTGTACTGAGGACATTATAAAGAACAGTAGAGATTACTAAGCCAACAGCCATTTCAAAGAAAAAACTGATGAAAGAATCATATAACTTTGAGAATTAGATGAAATGATAAACTCCTAGTAAACTATAAATTGCAGAACATAAAACAGGAGGAAACCAAAGACATGAACAGACTGATAAGCAAACAAAGAAATTATATTCAAGACCTGCTAGCCATAAATATCCAAGGTCCAAATGATTTCACAGGAATTCTGCAAAATTTTCGAGAGCAGTTAAACTATTGACATAAATGTTGAAGAAAAGAGAAAAAGCAAACCTTCCAAACTCATTTAAGGAGACTAGAGTAATCTTAATCCCAATAGATAAAGAGGAAAAGAAAAGTATTGGCTGTTCTTACTTATGATTGTACATGAAAAATCTGAAATAATGCAAGAGCTAAATAAAATTTAAAATGTATAATACATAATGATCAAGTAATATTAACTACAGGAGTTAAAAAATGATTCAGAAATTTATCAATGTAACTCATATTATTCTATGAATATATTAATGATCTCTAGGAGAAAAATGATTTGATATCAGTAGATGCAGAAAACACTTTTGGTAAAGTTCTGTGATGTTTTGATAACAACAAAACAAATTAGTGATGCTTGGGAACTTATATATTATGTGTATTTGTAGATTGCTGCAGGCCTCCTGGAGAGCAGTCAAGCAATACTCAGTAAGATTAAATATTCATGTCTTATGAACCAGCAATCCCAGTCCTGAACATACAGCCCGAAGACATTCTTACAGAAGTCCACAGGGAAACGTGCACATGTTATTCATTGCAGTGTGGCTTGTGTTGTTAGCAAATTGGAGACTCTCTGGGTGTCCATAATGTCAGGATATATGGGGTGCACACTGTGGAGTACTACACAGACATACTAGACAATAGACTAGATGAAAACAACATGCTTTGTAGGAAGGTAAAAATAACTAGCTCCACAACACATTATATTTTTGTAAGTTGAAAAGAACAAAAACATTTAATTTATAAGACTACATAGAAATAGAAGTATACACATCAAACATACTAGAATAGTTTACAATTTGGGAAAATAAGGAATGGGAGTGGGGAATAGCTAAAATATACTAAATAGTTGAATTGAGAAGAGACTAATGGTAATAATTTGCCATGAATTAAGGTGCATAATTAACTTTTCGGAAGAGAGAGACAGATGTAATATGTAAAATATAAAAGTCAGTAGATCCTGTATTCAAGAGTTTTGTAGTCTAACATTGTCCAGTGCAATATACTGCTTAGAAGTGATCCTTCTCTTGAACATTTTAATAAATTTTTCAATGTTTTAATATTTTGTACTCTAATCACAAGAAAAGTTTTTAGAGCATGGATAAGTTAAAATAATCTCTATAAAAATTCAAATATCATTGAGGTGCAATTAAACCACAGTTTACAAACTGGAGGATAAAGGGGCAAATTAGAGCTATGGATGGGTTTTATTTGACCTGCATGATGTTCCTAAATATTATAAGTGACTGCTAAGACTTAATATTTTTTAAATTTCACATAAAAGTCAAGATTTATGGTTTTTCTTTAACAAATCGCAAGTTCTGGCAACATTGACTCCCAGTTTTTATGTGACAATGCTTTGGTAGTTGCTGAGGAGCAGCTGTGTCTGAATTTGGACCTATGTTCTGCAGGTCAGCACATCCTTGCCTGATGCACTATATGCATTTATGTCAGCCACCCAGCTCCTATTGACATTTGGTTTGGTGACGCCTTAAAGAGCGCACATGGTGGCCCATGCCCCCAAGGCTCAGCAGAGAGCATTCTTGTTCATCATCTCTATGACCATCTCAAACTTACCTGCCACATCACTAGCTTTTATCCTTCCGCAGACCTTTGGATTGTGGCACAGGACACTGGGCCATAAAGAGAGGGCAAATTGGGAGCCAAAGGACAATTTGGAAGGGGGTAGGGTGAAGAAAAGGAGCTCTAAAAATTATCTGTGTTATTCAAGACCAAGTTAAAGTAGAATAGATGAATTTTATTAAATATGATTATGTGGGTTTCTTTTTTTTGCTGTGATTCTGCACATATCCAGATGATTTTTAAACCTCATTGCCCCCAAGTTAACTTCTATCATGTTTAATTTAATTTCTTTGTCCGTTGCCCTTATTCAGACTGTCTTCATTTTTGATACTTTGAAATATCTTCTTTCTCTTTTTCCAATCTCAGATAACTGCAAACAATATCTGTCAGACTTGTGACTGGGAGCACTAAAACCATGTTATTATAGTATGGAGGCTGGTAACGTTTGTCTCATTTAAATATAGACTAACGCTATGTCTTACATAAGTTTACAAAAGTGTTTCTAGTCTTCATCTCCTCTTAAATCTGTATTCATTCAGCTCTTATCATGAGCGCTCTGACTTTAGGAATGGTATCCATTTTATTAAGCATTATTATTAATGTGAGTTAAAATGATTTTTTTCTAGGTATCTGTGTTTATATACCTTTCTGGCCGTTTATTCTACAGTAGTAAACCCTCCCCAGGTACTTAACACGATACCAGAGGATGGGGATGTCTCTGGGAATAAGGCCTCTTCTGTGCTCCCAGGAGCTCTCAGACTGTAGGAGAAAAAGGTAAAAAACAGGTGCAACAGCCTATGCAGGCAGGGTGGTGCAGGAAGTACAGAGTGGTGGTTTCTACCTGGAGAGACTGACTAGGGAAGTGAGACGGAAAGTTTTTATGGATTCATTGAGGAAGTGACCAAAACAAGAGCTCTTCCCTGTCCCTCATTAACCCTGGGCCTGGCTCCCTCACTTGCTTTCTTTATTACATAATTTTACTCTCTTTTTTTTCACTTGATTAAAATGACTTCTGAGTGCACTAAGCGTTGCTATAATCTAATGAATAGCATTAGTCTTGATAAAAAAAAAAGCACTTATAGAGAAAAAAGAAAACAAATGCTTACGCAGCTATTTTCACCGTTTCACTTTAATAAAAAGGGTAATTACTTTGGCCTTGGAAAGTAACAAGATTTCCCTGTAGTTTTCATCACTGGGATTTCTTATTCCTGTATCATTAACTGCCCCAATAAAAGTTGTCTTCTTCAGTCACTATAACTTAGTGTCAGCATCTACCACAACAGCACACAGGGCCTGAGGCAATTTTAGCTGGACCCAGAGCGGGGCACTCTATGTTTTCTTCCTTTTTGAGCTACAAATGTACTTTAATGTCCACTGGAAAAAATGTAAGCTGCAATGCAAACATGCAGTTTTATGAATAGAATTGTGTTAGGCCAGACTAACATGTGTGACTAAGTAAAAAGTTGGAAAGTAACTGATATATGAAAATAAGTGAATAACTGCAAAAGTGGTACATGGAAGTGGAAAAATTGTGAGGGTGGATCTTACATGACTGAAGTTTAATAAATCCTGGAGTAGGTGCTTTTTGTTGTCACTTGGAACTTCAACGTTCAATGCTTTTAGGAATCTCTTTCATTCTGGGTGACCCCAGAAACCTCTCAGAGACTCAAGTGCACAGGGAGGATGGGGCAAAGAAACCCACATAAGGACCTACTAAGAAAGCTCAGAAATTTACCTGAGACATAAATTAAGTCCCTTGTGATAATGAACATGGCCCCTAGGACGTGCACTTACTCCTGCAGGGCAGGAGGGTTCAGTCCACAGTGAGCAAAAGTAAACTGCAATGGTTCGAGAAAAAGAAAGCTGCTCTGAAGGGATAGTGAGGCTCCTGGGAAATGAAACCTCTTACCGCACAGCTGACCTTTCCAGGACAGATCATGCTAGAGTAAATACTAAATCACTTCTGTTCCTTCCCTAGAAAATTGTTTACAAATCATTATCATACAAAGAAAAAAAGAACAAAAAGAAATAGGAAAAGCCTAGAGGTCTATCAAGCAGTCAATTAATACAAATCTTACGTATGTAGATTTTTGTGATATTTGTCAGTTTTTTCAGTTTGTCATTTGGAATGATCCTTATTCTAAACAAACCATTCGCTTTTGTGTTCAGTTTTTTGAGGGGTTTTCTAAAGATTAATATACTTTTCATGCTGTAAGCACATCTCTGAGATACAATTCAGTAATTTCCCTAGAAGGAAGAGAAAGGGGTGGGCTTTCCTCCCTCATTTTTAAAAAAATAGAATTTCTTTTATTTATGCATGCTCTTAATAGAAAATTTAAATCCTCATTAATTATATTAGTTTAAAAATGTTATTAGAGCAAAATATAAAACCTGACATTTTAACTAGTTTTTAATGTACAAGTCAATGGCATTGATCATATTCATGACGTTGTGCAATCATCATCACTGTCTAGTCCCAAAACTTTTTCATCACTCCAAACAGAATTTCTGTAACCATTCAGAATTTCTGTTTGGAGTGATGAAAAACTATTAAGCTATAACTCCCCAGTGCCTCCTCAACCCAGCCCCTGGTAACCTTGGATCTACCTTCTGTCTCTATTAATTTCCTGTTCTTTATTTTTCATATAAGTGGAATCATACAATATTTGTCTTTTTGTGTCTAGTTTATTTCACTTAGTATGTTATCAAGATTCATTCATGTTGTAGCATATCAGATATCATTCCTTTTTATGGCTCGATAATATTCCATTGTGTGGATATACCACATTTTGTTTACTCATTTATCTGTTGATGGATATTTAGGTTGTTTCTACCTTTTGACTCTTATGAATGATGCTGAAATAAACAGTGACATACAGATATCTCTTTCATTCCCTGTTTTCAGTGCTTTTTGGGTATGTATCTAGGAGTAAAATTACTATAATATGCTAGTTATATATTTAACATTTCAAGGAGCCACCAAACTATTTTCCACATTAGCTTTATCATTTTATATTCCCACTAACGGTGTATAAAGATTCCAAATTCTCTGCAACGTAGCTAAGACTTATTTTCTATTTTTTGATTATACCCATTCCTGTAGGTATGAAGTGGTATCTCCTTGTGTTTCAATTGCATTTACCTCATGACTAATGATGTTGAGCATCTTTTAATGTGCTTATTGTCAATTTTTATATCTTCATCAGTCTCCTGGAGTCTTTTGCCTGCTTTTTCATTGAGTTGTTTTCTGTTATTGAGTTTGAGGAGTTCTTTACATATTCTGGACATTAAACCCTTATCAGATACATGATTTGCAAATATTTTCCCCAACTCTGTACGTTGTATTTTTACTTTCTTGATAACGTTCTTTAATTAACAAAAGGTTTTTTTAAAAATTTTAATGAAGTCCAGTTTATCTATTTTTTCTTTCGTTGTTCATGCTTTTAGTGTCATATCTAAGAATTCATTGCCAAATCCGAAGTAGTGAAGATTAACTCTTATGTTATATTCTAATATTTGTGTGGGTTTAGCTCCTATATTTAGATCATTGATCCATTGTGAGTTAATTTTTGTAGTGTAAGGTAGGGATCCACTTTCATTCTTTTGCATGCAGAAATACAGTTGTACCAGCACCATTACTTGAAGAGACTTTTGTTTACTCATTAAATGGACTTGGTACTCATCAAAAATCAATTGGTCATAGATGTATGGGTTTATTTACAGACTATGAATTCTATTCCATTGGTCTATATGTCTATGCTGTGCCAGTCTCATACTTAATTTTCTATTATTTTTTCTTAAAGTGGCCTCTTCACTAAATTATCTAAATACATACCCATCACAACCTTTATCTCCTGGTCATATTATCTGAGGACCTCTGAGGGTTATTATTATTATTTTTTTCTTCTTCTTCTTTCCCAAAAGCTCCCCCAGTACGTAGTTGCATATTCTAGTTGTAGGTCCTTCTAATTGTGCTATTATTTTCTTATTTGTCTTGTGTTTTTGTTTCTTTTTTAAAGACATAAGTAATGTCATCTATTTTGTATTTTTCTGCATATGCATTTATATATTTATATAAATATTTGTATACATCATTGATAATATATGGGGTCTTACTCTTTACAGGGTGCTTATCCTTAAGTTAGAAGTCATTCCTGGTCTCTGCTTTTCTGAACTGGACTCAGCAGCCCTCCAAGTACAATTTTTAGAGACCAACTGGAAAGAGAAAGAACTGAAAGCTTCTAAGAAACATCTGTCTTCAGAGGAAGGAGAGAGGAACTCCTGTCAGAGGTAACTGGGGGGCTGTACAAACAGAGAAGCGTAATGTAAGTGCACTGGCCCTTTCTGATAAAGGGCATAGGGGTCATAATTTTATCTGAAAAGTAGCAGCAAGAAAGTAGGCACTAGGGACCAGCCCGGTGGTGCAGCAGTTAAGTTTGCACGTTCTGCTTCTCGTCAGCCCAGGGTTCGCCAGTTCGGATCCCGGGTGCGGACATGGCACTGCTTGGCACGCCATGCTGTGGTAGGCATCCCACATATAAACAAAAAAGTAGAGGAAGATGGGCACGGATGTTAGCTCAAGGCCAGGCTTCCTCAGCAAAAAAGAGGAGGACTGGCAGTACTTAGCTCAGGCCTAATCTTCCTCAAAAAAAAAAAAAAAAAAGAAAAAAGAAAGTGATACTAGTCTGGGTTATCTAGTAGGTTATGTAACCTGCCAAGATCTGTCTAAGAAGAGAATAAGAGGGTTACTGAACACTCTTTGATAAAATTAAAATAACAGAGGGTGATAAAGGATAAAAATTACAGCGAAAGATCTTTCGGAATATCTTCATCTAGGCTAAAACTAGAAGATGTCATAATTATTCCATTCTGTTATTTATTCAAAAATGTATTTTTGGTGACCTACTATGTGCTAGGTGTCCTAGGAACTGGAGAGTATAATGATGAACTTAATGTAGATATTCTAGATAATGAGACAATCATAAAATATATAATTATAGGAATAATTATTTAACTATAGTTGGAGTAAATATTACAAAAGAAAAGTAGAATGTGCAACGAAAGCATAAAACAGATGCCAAAATTAACTTTTGACATTGGAGAAAACTATTCTGAAAAAACGATGTTTATGCCAAAATTTGAAGAATAGGAGAAGCCAGGTGAGAAGGGAGAAGAGCCTTGAAGATCCTGAGGTGGGAAGGACTTTATCAGGTTAAAGAAGGGGAAGATGCTCAAAGTGATCGTTGTTTTTATCTAAAGAGAACTCCATAGCTGGATTCCATATAGTGCAAAATAGGAATAGATTATCCCTAATGTGAAAGGGAAAATTTGAGCATACACAAACTACTAATCTAGTACACAATAGATGAGTGTGTGTGTATTGTGTTATATTCTGTCTATATTCTGTATATTCTATCTGTAGCCAAATAGGATCCTGGCATGAAAGTCTCTTCACGTTAATATGCTGTGTCCTCTTCAGGAATCTCTAACCAGCAGAGAGAATTCAATTTGAGCTGCCACTTTGGATCAGTCTTTTAATAGCTGTATATTTACGAAGGGTAGATTTCAGGGAGTTGTTTATCTGTGTCTGTGTTTCTCTGCCTTAAATGGGCTATTTATTTTTAAAATATTGTTTGTTATTACATAGGTTATTTGCTCAAACTCTGCCATTAAGTTAAGAAAGTTTAATTCTATTGATTGTTTAGTTTTCATTATATTCCATTATTTATCTAATTTCTTTTATTTTTGTATAGAAAATCTTCAGGTGGGTAACAAAAAAGTTGGTTATGTTAAAGTAGTTGTAGGAAATAAGTAAAGAATTAAATGGCCTTCAACAGACTTTACATGTTGGTGGAAGAAGCTCTCTGGCTATCGCCGTCTCGAGTCACTGCAGTCTACGCTTATTGGATATGAAGGAATTAAAAACACAGCTTTCTCTAAGCCTGTAATTAGGAATACTGCCTCTGCCCTGAATACTATACCTTCTTGTTAATAATATGCCTTTTAAATAGTTTGCATATAAGAGGGCAATTGTCAAGAGTTGCAGCTGTTGAAGAGATTCGAATCTAGGATAGTATTTTCTATCACTATGTCTTCTCCTAATATTTTTGCGTGTGTTATGGAAAAAAAAAATGTTTTTAAATCAAATACATTTGAGAAAAACTGTTATATAACAGTTTTGATTTTCTTAATTGTAATTTTCTGAGAATCTTTAATATGAGGATGTGTATGGTGGCTGTAAGAGAAGAGAATCTAAAATTAGAATGCAGGCTTTTCTAACTCAGATCTCAGGAGCTGGTCTGCATGGACAATTATGTAACACTATTTTGGATAATGCTGATCCAGAAAAATATATTTAGACCCTTCTAGAAGAGGAACAGATGTTATATTGAGAAGAAGAGAAGAAGAATATTGTGAAAACCCAGAAAGAATGACTTCAGGTTTTTTATAAAGGCAGGACACCCAATGATTATGAAATATGGATGGAATCTGGTCGAAAAGCCAAGAAAAAAAGGAAAAACATGGGGGATTGGACCTAAACTGACTGATGACCTTCATGGAATTTGGACTGTCATCTACCTCTTCAGAAATAGAGAAAAATATGGTCCTTGGCCATGTGAATATCACCTCTCCTAGTCTTCCAACCTGCTGTGATTAGAAAGGAAGGCAAGGCAACACAGTTTCAAAGGGTTTTCATGCTGCATGAGTTTGGTTTGTCTTCAGGCATGTATATTTAATGCTCATATATTTAGTTGCTAAATCTGTATGCAACTCCAGGATTAAAATATGTTTTGCATGAAAGGTTCAAATGAAAGAAAAGGTCACAGAGGGGTCTGGGTAGACACATTCTCTAAAGTTCTTTTGACAGTAAACTCAAAATACAATGCAGAAAAAAGCATAACCTCTGTGAGTTTAATGTAAAACTGGGAATGTTTTCAAGAAGGGCAATGACTTTGTTCCTGAAGTCCACTTTTGTATTGAATAAACATAGTATAAAATTTTATCTTACAGCTGCAAACAGTTTTTGTTTCAAAGTTTACTAATTCTAACTTAAAGATTTCAAAATAACTAATGAATTGCTCAGAATTTCAAGTAGGCCCCATGCTTCTCTGACTGAATAGTATCTAAAAACTTTGTGTTGTATTCTCTATGTCATTCAAAATTACAAATTTCAAGTTGGCCATAAAGCTAGCTTGTAATCCTTTTAGAATGCAAAATATTAATAGTTGCAAAATCTTTACCAGCTATACTGATATCATGATAAGTAGAGATAATAATAAAACACTTTTATCAAATAAACAAGTTACTTCTGTTGAGAAGTGAATTTCAGATCACTGTGCAAAATCCATTGATAGTGTTCATTGTCTTTTATTGCTCTATTATATGATTCAGTATAAAATTGGATCTACATATTATAATTAACTGTTTTATAGGCCACGGTGTTTTTAGAATTTTTCCCTATGAACGCAGGGGGAATAACAAAGAACTTAAAGTAATGCAGAAGCTTTTCTTTTACCATCCCAAATGTAACAGCTCAAAGTATCAGGTATTTTTACATTTTTTAATAAAGTATTTCTTTTTTTTAATTAATTTTTTTTTTGAGGATGATTAGCCCTGAGCTAACATCAGCTGCCAATCCTCCTCTTTTTTGCTGAGGCAGACTGGCCCTGAGCTAACATCCATGCCCATCTTCCTCTACTTTATATGTGGGACACCTGCCACAGCATGGCTTGACAAGCAGCGCCATGTCCACACCCGGGACCCGAACTGGCGAACCCCGGGCCACCAAAACAGAACATGCGAACTTAACTGCTGTGCCACCAGGCCAGCCCCTTAATCAAGTATTTCTTAAATTTAGCTGTTCGATTCTGGCATAATAAAACAATAGTGGAGTATAATAGTGATTCTCATTTGTCTTCTTCTTAATCAGTTTGGGAAGTAGTTAACCTCCTAGATTTCCTTGCGTTTTTCTCATCTTAGTGGAGTCTCCTTCTCCAGACCTCTCAGACCTTGTGTCTCGCTTTTCTTTCCTCCATTGGCCCTGCTATTAGGAGTGGATCTGTAGTTCATAATTCAGCCTAAAGTGAAAACAAAATTTAACCACCCGAAATTTTATAGAGCATCAAACCAACAGAGTAGCTTTATTTTGGAGAAATTTCAGGCATCATCCAGGTCAGTCTAGGCATATATTTGGTAACTTGTCTCTGAAATGTTATTTACAAATATTTTATTTGTTTACAGAATTCTACCAATTTTAAAGTCAAGACTGTAAGAAACATCTTATTTCTCTGATAGCTATTCCTATGGCTCTAATGATTTAGTGTTCACTTCTAAACAACCATAATAATTTCTGAACCTCAAAAAGTCATTTCCAGCCTTTTGAAAAGGTCTCTTCTCTCTTCAGCTTCTATAGACTCCAGTTCCTACAGCCCTTCCACAATGGCAGGCTGAATTCTTTTATGGTTTCATTAATTTACTAGTGGGAACTGTGTAAGCTATGAAAACCTGTTGTATTTGGCTTGCATTTATTTAACACATATGTTTCATATTTATTGATTCTGGAAAAAATCTTTATAAGTAAAAAGAAAAAAATATTTCCTGTAGATATGAGAGAAGCAAATTAGCCTTTTGGCCAATGTGCTTGGAGGCATGCTTTCTCAGTGCTCATGGTTTCCTGGCTGGAGCACAGTGGAGAAAGCTCGTTAGCGGGAAGGAATTGAACTGGAATATAAGAAGCCTGGAAGCAAAGTCAGTCCCTTACACATTTCTCCTCCTGTCACTCATTAGCTGCCTCAGATCACTTTAGCAACTTTTCCCCTTCCTCTCCTGACAGCTCAACCTGCTTTCCTGCCTTGAGACACATTATCTTAGAATTTTAAGCATAAAGCGTAGAAAATGAGAACAAGAGGAAGGTCAAACTGGCTTCATTTGAAGAGGGGGTGAATGGTGAAGGAAGGAAATAGCTAAACGCTACTTTTCCTAAATTACTTTTTTTCTTCCTTTTTTCTTTCCTAGGCTTCTATTCACCAAAAACCTCTCTGTTCTTGATCAATACCTGTTTGATGCTGATGCCATTTATCATCAGGCGTAGTTTGAGTCTTCCTGCCTTCTGTTGTTTGGTGTTTATTTTACCTGAGGACTGGATTTATTCTTAATCATTTCCCCTTTGGAAATATTGCTTAGAAAGCAAAAGGAACATCTTGATTCAAATGGAATTTAATCTTCTGAGTTCTTCCCAGGCAATACCTCCTCATTACAGCTTGTTTCATGCAGACTCTGGGATGGCAGGTTGAACAAGTCAAAAGAGGTGGGTAGGCATCTAAAAGGTAAATGATCCAATTATAACTGGTTTATCCCAGATAGCTCAAAGCCTTGGGAACAGAGACAAACTAGTCTAGTGGCACTTGCCTTGCTTCAGGAGATCAACCATGAGGAACAAAATTGTCAAGGGAAAAATAAAAGTTTTAGAAACAACATTTTAAGTCAATCAGGGAAAAATAGCAAATAAACAAATGATACAGTAATGATTTAATCAACTTTGGCTCCTCCGCTCGGGCTATTAAATAAAACATATACTGGACCTGAGGTAATCAGGCATCCATGGAAGCAGTGAAATTTTCTTTGTCCCATCCATTCTGTTTTTCATGAGAGTATATGTTAACAGGGTCAAACCTAGGTTATATCCTTTGGCTGAATGAGTATACCTGGGTTTTTGTTAGGAAGGTGAGGATGGAAAATTCTAATAGATTTGAGAGGAGGCTCAATATAAAGGCAGGAAGAGGATTTTTCACTTCCTTTTGAGGAAGATTAGCCTGGGGCTAACATCTGTGCCCACCTTCTTCTATTTTATATGTGGGACGCCTGCTGCAGCACGGCTTGATAAGCAGTGTGTAGGTCTGTGCCCAGGGTCCCAACTGGCAAACCCCGGCCACTGAAGAGGAGCGCACGAACTTAACTGCTTAGCAGGCCACCTGGCAGGCCACCAGGAAGAGGACTTTTGAATGGAAATATACAAATTCTGTCTTTAACCAGTGTTTTCAATTTCACTTTCTTAAGCCAACTAAGGACCTGCAAAATGCTATTTTCCACTTACTTTAGCAAATGTCAGTCTAAGATTTGGTGAAGTTAAATGTGTATTCTCACAAGGTAACTAGCTGAACTGAAAGTGACACCAACCTACCGATCAAATGAGAGACACTAGGAACAATAATATAATCAAAATATCTTCAGGGACTCATTCCCTTTAGGCAAAGCTCAGAATATTCATAAATTGCATGTCAGACAGAACCTGAAGAGTAGGAAGCCATAAGTCACCATTAAACAAAGGAGAGAGAAATTGAAATGTAGTTTAGATTATAAGGCAAATGGAAGAGAAAGCCAAGGATAGGACGCAACTCTCCCCTCTCCCTTTCTAGAGTCCATTTCTCTTGATGTCTTGGGCTCAAGGAGTTTGGAAAAACTAAGTGCTGCTTCTTTGGTGGAAAGTAAACTAAACAAGTTAATTGCTGTATTTTTGTTACTTGGTAGAAAATAAAACATTTATCTCATGCTTATTTTCCTCTATTTATTTGTACAGTCCGTACAATCGAGGTGTGCCTGAGTTCAAGAGATAATGAATTTATTAGTTGTATAAACCCTAGGCAAGTGATAATATCTCTTTGAGCCCTTTTCCACACCTGCAAAATGAGAATCATCATACCTTCTGCTTGTTTGTTGTAAAAGTTATAAAAAGATTTTAAGATCACATATGAAAAGAATTTGAACATAGTCTCTCAGTAAATGCCATTGCTGAGAAGCTTCATTTAATTTTAAGGTTTTAAACCTTAACCTTAAAATACAAAGAAAAAGAAAAATTCTCAGAAAAATATAACTTGCTAGCACAATGGACCAATAAAATCTAACAATGAAATGATTGCTATTATTAATAATAAATTTTAGAAAGAGCCATTTGAAAAATTCAATGTATATCTGAAATAGTATTTTACTTTTGTAATTAGTTCATGGTTATTTGCAAGTAATATTAAATATATAAGCTTTTAAGGGGAATTGGCAAGTAGAGACACATTCATTTTATCAGATGACAGTCTTTCTACATAGGGTTTGGTAATTTCTATCAGGTCTTAAAAGGAATCATTAGAAATCTCATGAGCAGATAAAAACTTGTGACTTTTTGGATCATGAAATATCAGTTAGTTAAATATTGGAGTTATAAAAATATATATATATATATTTTTTTTAGGACAGTGAAAATAGTCTGTATGATGTTATAATGATGGATATATGTCATTATACATTTGTCCCAACCCGTAGAAAGTATACCACCAAGAGTGAATCTTAAGAGTGAATGTTGATGATTACCTATGGACTTACAGTGATTATGATATGTCAATGTAGGTTCATCTTTGGTAAAAAATATACTATTCTGGTGAAGATGTTGATAATGGGTGAAGCCATGCATGTGTATGTGGGAATAGGGGGTATATAGGAAATCTCTGCATCTCTCTCAATTTTGTCCTAAACCTAAAACTGCTATTTAAAAAATCTTTAAAAAAATTCTCACATTAAATAAGGAAAAATTATGTTTAATGTAATTCTGATTATTCTGATGGTGTGATAGCTTCATCCATGCTATTACACCACTAACAATAGCAAAAATAATAAGAAAAACTATCGGAGGTGTGATATTAATTTATACATAGATGTGCCTGCAGTTTAGAAATATAAATACAAAATTCTGTATGGCACATTTCTTTGTTAAGTTGCTTCTGATCAAAGCTGCTTATATACCACTCAGAAAGTAATGTCCGTGGAGCTATTTTGAAATTGTTGTTTAGCAGATGTTTCTCATTATTGACTAGGTGGAGAAGGAGGACAATATGCAAGAAGAAGCCCATTTTGTTTCAGGAGCTCTCTGATTTATACTGTACTCAGACAGCCATACATTGGTTTGCAAAATGTAGAGGTGTTCTGGATATAAACCTCTGTCCAGTCAACAGTAGTTAGTTTGGGTTAGAATTCTTGGGACATAAATGAACATTGCAAACATACTGTCTCTTTGTTTGCAAATCTATGTTCATTTTAAATGTTGATTCATCTTAAACACATTATTTGGGAGTACCAGTTTGTAAGTAATTCCTTCTTGCCACGTTGGATGTTAGGAGAGAGAAAAAGAAGCTTGAAATACCTACTTTTAATACTGGAAGCAGAAACACCTGACAGATAGAATAAGAATGTGTGCTTCTCATGCCACTGGCATCATTATCAGCTAGGGACTTGTTAGAAAGGCAAATTTTCAGGCTCCACCCCAGACCCACTGAATCAGGAATTATGAAGGTGAGACCTAACAAATTGTGTTTTAACAAACCCTCCAGGTGACTTTAATGCATGCTAAAGTTTATGAGTGACTGTATAAAGGACAAGGATTCCATTATAATAAAAAGTGGGAAATTATGATTACTTGATAAATATTTGAAGTGTTGTAAAAGAAATAAAGGAGGGTGTTGATCAAATGAGAGAAAATTGATAATTAATGTGAAGTTCAGCTGTTACATACAAGCCTTACACAGGCTGAGGCTGGTTAAAATCTCAATATTGCTTTTTTCCTGTATCCATTCACTATCTGCTCATGGAATGCATGTAGTTATTATACAATCCCAACACACACACGCACGCACACACACACACATGTACACACATGCACTATTCAAATGAGAGAATGTAAAACAAATTCAAATAGAAGGTACTTCTGACTCTGTGTTGTTCTGGATTAGCTGTAAACTCTTGTCTTGATTAGTAAAAAAGTAATCCCGTATCAAATCACATCTCTCAAAATGAAATAAGTTAATGAACAAGAGAAAGAAAAAATTTCTAAAGAAATGACCACTATAACTTAATACTATGCATTTTCTATTTCTTTTATACAAAGAGATATTTTAGTTATCCCCAGAAATATTGTAGTCAGTTATTTAGAAAAAAATTGAAATATTGAAATATCCTTTCAAACAATTCCTTTAAAATATAGTATGTAATTAATTTTATAAACCAGTTATGCAATTCTCATTTGATAGGAATTTAGGTTATATGGGGAGGTCAAATTTCACATAAATTTTTAATAAATAAATATGTTTGCTGATTCTTTGTTTCTATGTAAATGTCTTAGATAAAAATAAGATTTGTGTTTTATATAATTTATCATTGGTGTGTCTTTTAAAGGAACAGAGGAATGAGTAAATTTGATTAGGTTGTTTTGTTAAACTGTTTAATTTGAATAATTTTAAATTTAGGGACACGTTGCAAAGATAGAACAGAGACTTCCAGTGTACCTTTCTGCCAGGTTCCCTTAATGTCAGTACCTTACGTGATTATGCTACATTTATCAAAACTGAGAAATTAACATTGGTACAATGCTCCTATTTAAACTACAGACTCTATTTGGATTTCATCGGTTTTTCTGCTAATATCCTTTTTCTGTTTCAAGATTCAATTCTGGGGCATGTATTGCATTTAGTTATGTGTGCTTAGTCTCTTTAGATCTGTGAAAGTCTCTCAATGTTTCCTTGTTTTCACGGCATTGACATTTCTTAGAAGTAATGGGTAGATATTTTTGAGTCCCTCATTTTGGATTGTTGTGATGTTTCCTCATGCATATATAATAAACATGAGGGCATACTGATATCTCTGACTCTACTTACTCAGAAATCACCCTAGACTCCCCCTCTTTGCTTATATGTAGCTTCTTTATCTGACAATGACAGTGAGAAACAGACGCCAAATATCTATAATTTGTTTTTCCAACTGTAGTATACACATAAAGTAATTCCAAAAATGCTGGCCCTTACCCCTGTGAGAAGCAAATTAACCATCTAGAATGCAGTGCTTGTGTGCAATTCTTTTTGTCTCTAGTCTTACAGCATCCTTTCAAAATATTGTTTGCCAAAGTTACTAAATCAACCCCTTTTTACCTAAGCTTTCATATATTATGTTGTGTTGTTGCAACACAGTTGTTTTTATGGAGTAAAATAGTGATTCAATTGTATTATTTCAAGCTTTCTTTGGAATAACGATCTGTAATGCCAGCTTCCATGTACAAAGCTTCTAAATATGAATGGATCTCTTTCTCTACTTTGCCCATTGGCATATTTGTTTATCTTTATGTTAATACCATATGGTTTAAATAAAACTTTATAAAAAGTTTGATATCTGATATGACATGCTTTCCTTTCTTCTCATTTTTAGCTTTATGAATTTGAGGAACACTTTTTATTTTTTATGAGAAACCCAATTTAGATTTTTAAATAATTTTTTTAATGAGGTAACATTGATTTATAACATGGTATACATTTCAGGTATACTTGATTATATTTCAACTTCTGTAGTGACTACATCATGTTCTCCACGAAGAGTCTAGCTTCCATCCATCACCGTAAAAATGTTCCCCTTTACCCTTTTCATCCTTCCTCCACCCCGCTTCCGCTCTGATAACCACCAAGCTATTCTATGTATCCATGTGTTTCTTTATCTTCTGCATATGAATGAATTCATATGGTATCTGTCTTTCTCCATCTGACTTATCTTGCTTAGCACAACACCCTCAAGGTCATCCATGTTGTTGCAAATGGCAACGTTCTTTCTTTTACTACTGAGTAGTGTTCCATTGTACGTATACACTACATCTTTTTCATCCATTCATCTGTTGATGGATGCTTAGGTTGTTTCGAAGTCTTGGCTATTGTGAGTAGTGCTGCAGTGAACATACAGGTGCATATACGTTTTCAAATTAGCACTTTTGTGTTCTTTGGATAAATAGCCAGCAGTGGAATAGCTGGATCATGTGGTAGTTCTATTTTTAGTGTTTTGAAGGATTTCTATACTGTTTTCCATAGTGACTACATCAATTTATATTCCCACTAGCAGTGTAAGAGGGTTCTCTTTTCTCCACATCCTCTCCAACACTTGTTATTTCTTGTCTTTTTAATAATAACCATTCTGATGATCATGAAGTGATCTCTCATTGTGGTTTTGATTTTCATTTCTGTAATAATTAGTGTGTTGAACATCTTTTCATTTGCCTGTTGGCCATCTATATGTTTTCTTTGGAAAAATATCTGTTCAGATCCTCTGCCCATTTTTTAATTGGATTGTTTGTTTTATTGTTGTTGAGTTGTAAGAGTTATTTATATATTTTAGATTTTAACTCCTCATCAGATATATGATTTGCAGATATCTTCTCCCAATTGGTAGATTGTCCTTTTGTTTTGTTGATGATTTTCTTTGCTGTGCAGAAGCTTTTTAGTTTGATGTAGTCCCATTTGTTTATTTTTCCTTTGTTTCCCTTGCCTGAGGAGACATGTTCCAAAAGATACTCCTAAGACGGGTATCAAAGAGTGTACTGCCTATGTTTTCTTCTAGGATTTTTATGGTTTCAGCTCTTACATTCAAGTCTTTACTCTATTTTGAGTTAATTTTTGTGTATTCTATAAGATAGTGGTCTACTTTCATTCTTTTGCATGTGCCTGTTCAGTTTCCCCAGCACCATTGATTGAAGAGACTTTCCTTTTTCCATCATATGTTCTTGGCTTCTTTGTTAAAAGTTAGCTGTCCATAGCTGTGTGGCCAATTTAGATTTTG